CAGTGCACATCTATCGTATCTTACATTGCCACATCAGTGCACATCTATCGTATCTTACATTGCCACATCAGTGCACATCTATCGTATCTTACATTGCCACATCAGTGCACATCTATCGTATCTTACATTGCCACATCAGTGCACATCTATCGTATCTTACATTGCCACATCAGTGCACATCNCGAGACATAGATGAGATCTCATTGAAAAGGCGAGACATAGATGAGATCTCATTGAAAAGGCGAGACATAGATGAGATCTCATTAAAAACGCGAGACATAGATGAGATCTCATTGAAAAGGCGAGACATAGATGAGATCTCATTGAAAAGGCGAGACATAGATGAGATCTCATTGAAAAGGCGAGACATAGATGAGATCTCATTGAAAAGGCGAGACATAGATGAGATCTCATTAAAAACGCGAGACATAGATGAGATCTCATTGAAAAGGCGAGACATAGATGAGATCTCATTGAAAAGGCGAGACATAGATGAGATCTCATTGAAAAGACGAGACATAGATGAGATCTCAGTGAAAAGACGAGACACCTTTAGACCTACAGAGCTCGTCTGTTGATACGGACACAAGAGTACACCTTTAGACCTACAGAGAAAATAACCCTCGAGTGACTTATTCCATCTTCCTGCAGCTCTATTTCATTGCATTCAGGGTAACTAAAATCATATACCCAACCCAAAAATAGCATCATTCTTTATATGACATTCACGTTCAAATTGGTTTTTTCTTCTTGAATATTTTTAGAGGGGTTTTTTTTTCTTCTTTATTTAAAAACTTTTTAATCCATAAAATTTTGCAATAAATTGTTTCGCCATTCTCTTACCATGCTTTGGTACTTCTCCTCTATTTCATTTCATTCAACGACCAGCGACCAGTTGAGTCTTTGACTTGTGAAATGAGATTCAAGAGAATTCCCGTAAACTGTGGCCTCCCACGTGTCAAGCCGGTCTGTTTTATTTCCGTTGAGCCGATAGCAATCGGAAGGGGGTGGGGGGGGGGCCCGACTCCAGTGTAACAACTAACATTCATCACCATCACCACTCACCATCACCACTCACCGTCACCACTCACCGTCACCACCCACCGTCACCACTCACCGTCCCTTGTTTTATTTCCGTTGAGCCGATAGCAATCGGAAGGGGGTGGGGGGGGGGGCCCGACTCCAGTGTAACAACTAACATTCATCACCATCACCACTCACCATCACCACTCACCGTCACCACTCACCGTCACCACTCACCGTCACCACTCACCGTCACCACTCAACGTCACCACTCACCGTCACCACTCACCATCACCACCAATAAAACACGGCATTTTGATGTTTTCAACAACGTAAAAATTAAACAAGTTTTTTTGATCTATTCTTAGATTTAAAAAAAAAAATTCTTTGCGTGACTGTGCGTTATGTGCATTTGGTTTGAGATTATTTTGCCAGATGTAAAATATGCGTTCGACATTTACAATATTTTGCTGGCATAGAGCATGTTGCCATTTTTTTCAAGTAAAGATCCCGATGTGTCCCATTTCAACATCGTAAGGAAAATAGAGGGGGGGGGGGTGGTTATAGCTTAGGTCATATGAAACTGGTGACATCGTTCCTCCTTCGCCCAATTTTCGTGACGATCAAATTGTTCGATTCAAACCGTTGCATATAGAAAAGATATTGGCTTCTTTGATTTTATTCTTTAATTTGTGTTTTATTTTATGGTACATTTGTCGTGGGTTGTGGTGCCTTTGTTTATGAAAAGGGGCAAAGGTCACCCATGTTTTTCATTGAGTTGAAAAATGCCCCCCACCCCCATTTTTTTTCAACCCGGAAAAAATCGTATAAATCATCTGATGATGATGGAAATATGACTTGATTTAACAGTTACAAAAAAAAAAAAGTCCAGGCACCCACGCTGTAAATCAAAGTCCAGGCACCCACTCTGTACATCAATGTCCAGGCACCCACGATGTACATCAAAGTCCAGGCACCCACTCTGTACATCAATGTCCAGGCACCCACGATGTACATCAAAGTCCAGGCACCCACTCTGTACATCAAAGTCCAGGCATCCACTCTGTACATCAAAGTCCAGGCACCCACTCTGTACATCAAAGTCCAGGCACCCACCCTGTACATCAAAGTCCAGGCACCCACTCTGTACATCAAAGTCCAGGCACCCACTCTACACATCAAAGTCCAGGCACCCACTCTGAACATCAAAGTCCAGGCACCCCACTATGTACATCAAAGTCCGGGCACCCACCCTGTTCATCAAAGTCCAGGCACCCACCCTGTACATCAAAGTCCAGGCACCCACTCTATACATCAAAGTCCAGGCACCCACTCTGTACATCAAAGTCCAGGCACCCCACTATGTACATCAAAGTCCGGGCACCCACCCTGTTCATCAAAGTCCAGGCACCCACTCTGTACATCAAAGTCCAGGCACCCACTCTATACATCAAAGTCCAGGCACCCACTCTGTACATCAAAGTCCAGGCACCCCACTATGTACATCAAAGTCCGGGCACCCACCCTGTTCATCAAAGTCCAGGCACCCACCCTGTACATCAAAGTCCAGGCACCCACCCTGTTCATCAAAGTCCAGGCACCCACTCTGTATATCAGAAACTTTGGGTTGGTTCCTGAACATGTATACCTGAAGGTGACATGTGGACAAGGTCAATCCATTTCACGGTACACTATAAATTGAGTCAGTACATGGCAAAAAAATCACCCGAATCAATAATGTTGTCACCAGTGGCGTCGGAATGGGGAGATGGAGGGTGGGTGCCGTCTTGGGTGGCTCTGTTTGTTGTTGTCCTTTTTATTAACGAGGGGGGGGGGGCAGCATTTCGGCCGATTGCAGAATCTTTCTTGACAGGGGGGGGGCGGGGGGGGCTGCTAAAAGCTTTGCCCACCCCGGGCGTCACCCTATAGCCACCCCTCTGATCATCATGGCACCGAGTTTGACGTATATTACGACTATAAACTCCCTGACACGGTCCTGTAAAAGTACATGTTGTGACGGTCCTGGTGTTTAGCACTAATCCATCGGGAGTCTGGTTAACGGCCACACGTCATGGGGGTGCTTGCCGTGGAAGACAGAATCAGAGTCTCGTAACGGAGGGGGGGGGGAGGGGGCGTTGTTAGTCTGTGCGGAGAAATTAGGTCGTGGTCAGAACAGATCACTCCAGAAATATGTCCCTGTCGGGGGGATGGGGGTGGGAGGAGGTGGGAGGGGGGGAAGAAAGAAAAAGAGTTTTGCGAGAGGCTATTTTCAAAACGGACCACATGTTTTTGTGTTTACTTTCTGAGCATCTCGAGATGTCTCAATGCGTGATTAACAGACTCACGTTGTATAGGTCTGATTGAGACGCTGAAATGATGAACAGACACGTTTACAATGTAATAACAAAACCAACGCTTCTGGACCACGTTTTGGGGTGGGTTTTTTTGTTTTGTTTTGTGTTGGCCATACCATAATTTGTATTATACATGTAACACTACTGGATTGTCCTGGTGTAAACCGGTCAAGAAAACGCTTTTAGTTCAACGGTATCTCACAAGAAGTATGTGCTTAACTCGTTTCATCAATGGTTTTTTTAGTTCAACGGTATCTCACAAGAAGTATGTGCTTAACTCGTTTCATCAATGGTTTTTTTAGTTCAACGGTATCTCACAAGAAGTATGTGCTTAACTCGTTTCATCAATGGTTTTTTTAGTTCAACGGTATCTCACAAGAAGTATGTGCTTAACTCGTTTCATCAATGGTTTTTTTAGTTCAACGGTATCTCACAAGAAGTATGTGCTTAACTCGTTTCATCAATGGTTTTTTTAGTTCAACGGTATCTCACAAGAAGTATGTGCTTAACTCGTTTCATCAATGGTTTTTTTAGTTCAACGGTATCTCACAAGAAGTATGTGCTTAACTCGTTTCATCAATGGTTTTTTTAGTTCAACGGTATCTCACAAGAAGTATGTGCTTAACTCGTTTCATCAATGGTTTTTTTAGTTCAACGGTATCTCACAAGAATTATGTGCTTAACTCGTTTCATCAATGGTTTTTTTAGTTCAACGGTATCTCACAAGAAGTATGTGCTTAACTCGTTTCATCAATGGTTTTTTTAGTTCAACGGTATCTCACAAGAATTATGTGCTTAACTCGTTTCATCAATGGTTTTTTTAGTTCAACGGTATCTCACAAGAAGTATGTGCTTAACTCGTTTCATCAATGGTTTTTTTAGTTCAACGGTATCTCACAAGAATTATGTGCTTAACTCGTTTCATCAATGGTTTTTTTAGTTCAACGGTATCTCACAAGAAGTATGTGCTTAACTCGTTTCATCAATGGTTTTTTTTGTTTTGGAGAAAACACCTTCTTTAGCAACAGTTAACGTCTATGTGCTAACATAATGATGTGGTCATTCTGTCTCCCTATGTGGTCATTCTGCCTCCCTATGTGGTCATTCTGTCTCCCTATGGGGTCATTCTGTCTCCCTATGTGGTCATTCTGCCTCCCTATGTGGTCATTCTGTCTCCCTATGGGGTCATTCTGTCTCCCTATGGGGTCATTCTGTCTCCCTATGTGGTCATTCTGTCTCCCTATGGGGTCATTATGTCTCCCTATGTGGTCATTCTGTCTCCCTATGTGGTCATTCTGTCTCCCTATGGGGTAATCATGTCTCTCTAAGTAGTAATCCTGTCCCTCTATGTGGTAATCCTGTCCCTCTATGTGGTAATCCTGTCTCTCTATGTGGTAATCCTGTCCCTCTATGTGGTAATCCTGTCTCTCTATGTGGTAATCCTCCTGGTGCGCCAAAACAGCTAACGACACCGACGTTCTAAAAGAAAGACCCCATACAATTCTATATATAAACCTTTGGGAATCTCCATTATCGCATTGTATATATATATATATATATATATATATATATATATATATATATATATATATATATTTTTTTTTTTTTTTTTATTTCTTCTTACAGAGCCAGGCAATGCGTATTGTGAGGACCATCGGCCAGGCTTTCGAGGTGTGTCATAAACTCGGCGGTCAGTCCCGGCCAAACTCGGACATCAAAGAGGAAGTCGGTGACCGCCTGACTGAGGATAATGACCGCAAAGTCACCAAGAGTGAGTCATCATGTCTTGACTGCGGCCTCACTTGTTATATATCCTTACATACTTGCACTTTAAACATCATTGAAGACTATTACATTGTGTTAACACTTACAATGGACATCGTGCTTGCTTTAAACCGAAGTCAGAATTACAATGGACAATAGCACCATGTTGACTTCAATTACATAGCACCATGTTGACTTCAATTACATAGCACCATAGTGACTTCAATTACATAGCACCATGTTGACTTCAATTACATAGCACCATGTTGACTTCAATTACATAGCACCATGTTGACTTCAATGCCATAGTACCATGTTGACTTCAATGCCATAATACCAAAACAGCATTATTATAGTTACAATTTTAGACTAACTTAACCATTACACTTTTTTAAAAATAACTGTCTATATCTAATACTTGATCTTTCTGAAGATAAAGAAATTACTATGATCAATACTTGATCTTTCTGAAGATAAAGAAATTACTATGATCAATACTTGATCTTTCTGAAGATAAAGAAATTACTATGATCAATACTTGATCTTTCTGAAGATAAAGAAATTACTATGATCAATACTTGATCTTTCTGAAGATAAAGAAATGTCTATGTCCAATACTTGACCTTTCTGAAGATAAAGAAATGTCTATGTCCAATACTTGACCTTTCTGAAGATAAAGAAATGTCTATGTCCAATACTTGACCTTTCTGAAGATAAAGAAATGTCTATGTCCAATACTTGATCTTTCTGAAGATAAAGAAATGTCTATGTCCAACATTTGACCTTTCTGAAGATAAAGAAATGTCTATGTCCAATACTTGATCTTTCTGAAGATAAAGAAATGTCTATGTCCAACACTTGACCTTTCTGAAGATAAAGAAATGTCTATGTCCAATACTTGATCTTTCTGAAGATAAAGAACTGTCTATGTCCAATACTTGATCTTTCTGAAGATAAAGAAATGTCTGTGTCCAATACTTGACCTTTCTGAAGATAAAGAAATGTCTATGTCCAATACTTGATCTTTCTGAAGATAAAGAAATGACTATGACCAATAATTGATCTTTCTGAAGATAAAGAAATGTCTATGTCCAATACCAGATCTCTCTGAAAATAAAGAACTCTTTATGGCTCACACATGATCTATCTGCAGATAAGGAAGCAGGAAGCCAGGAGAAGAAAGAGTTGAACACGGCGTCCAAGGACGTCAGCAAGGAGATCCACAAGCCCAACCCTCCCAATGAGTTGAGTTTAAAGAACACTCAGCATGGACTCCCTGCGGTATGCATTACATCCATGCCCTCCCAGACGTCTCTCTGTCTCTGTCTGTCTCTGTCTGTCTCCATCTCTTTGTTTCTCTCCAGATATCTCCTTCTGACTCTCTCTCTCTCTCTGTATGTGTGTCAGCACGGACTCACTTCGGTATGTATTTATCGATACTCTTCCAAGCCTCTTTATCTCCATCTCTCTCTCTCTCCATCTCTCTCTCTCTCTCTCTCTCTCTCTCTCATACCACTCCTTTTCACCAATTTCGTTTTTCAGAGTTAGATAAAGTAATTTCTTTACCAAAGGTCCCCATCTTAAGCGTAAACACGGGTCTTTTCTTATAACTAATACAAATCATCTCCATTAGCCAACTTTCTATAGGAAGATGGCCATATATTACAGTGTTATTTCCCTCTGTCAGAAAATGGCCGTATGTTATATTATTTTTTTCCGCCCCCTCCCCACCCCACCCCCAGCTCCCTATGAAACTTTCGACGCCCCTCAGCTCCCCTGTCATGCTTGGTGACCGCGGGGACAGCGGCAATGGGAGCGGTAGCGAGCTGTGTCAGCTCCCTCTCAGTCAGCATCACCAGATGCAGCTGGTCAGACAGCAGCTTGAACAGCAGCAGCATCAGACACAGGTATAGGATCAGGTGTTTTGTTTTGTGTCAGTACTGATTCAGTCCACGGGAATCGTACCACAAAAATAAAAAAAACCTTAAAATTTAGAAAAATATATATATAATGAATAGGATGTAATAATGCACTGTTTCTTAAACTTTTTTATACCGTTGACACCCGTGGGTGGGACCTCCCTCCCCACCCCCCCACCCCCCTCACAAAAAATATTAAATAACAAAAATGTCTCTTCCCACTCAGGTTGCGATTGCACAAGTTCATCTCCTGAAGGACCAGCTTTCAGCCGAGACGGCAGCCAGAATAGAAGCTCAAGTAAGTCACGCAATGTTAGGAATGGGTTCGAGAACTCTTATGAACCCAACAGAATCGATTGTTCTTGCTAAGGCAAAAGGATCGATCTCTACCCCACAACCCCCCCTCCCCAAACAGTACGGTTCATTGTAGGTTTAAACTAATGGCAACCACGTGACTCCAATTTTACCAACTGATTATTTAAAACATGAAACGGACCATCATATTTATGGAATCCTCGCCAATGAAAGTAAGTTATCAAATTATACACGTCAAACTAAATAAATATTCACAACTATTCAAATACATCCTAAATTGAACTAATTTAATAAACTTTTTTTGTTTACAAGATAAATGCCTGCACCAACTCAAGTAGCTTCAAAAGCCTGTCAACAATGATTTTAGAACAAGGATTCCATTATTGTTTGTGTTATCCAGTTATCCACCCTTAGTAACCATATTTACACAACCCCCCCCCCTCGCGCGCACACACACACACACCTTTTTCGGTTTTCCACCCAAACCAATCGAGAATGAAATTTCTTCCCAATATATTAAACGATGTTCTCTGTTAAGATGTATAAATTTAACCATCTAACCACATGTAAAATTGTGGTAACCCTTACAGTTACCACATGTAAAATTGTGGTAACCCTTACAGTTACCACATGTAAAATTGTGCTAACCCCACAAAAAAATTGTGCTAACCCTTACAGTTACCACATGTAATATTGTGGTAACCCTTACAGTTACCACATGCTCCAGTTTGTAAAGATCCGGGTTGTAAACCAACTGAATGTTTAACGCATATCCTTAAGTATGAATACGACGGTGGCATTTCATCGTGCGCTGGTTACCTTAGACAACCCCTACTGCCCCTTTGGGGTGCATCGATTTAAAGCTGTTTTTTTTTTAAATGAAGAACTGGTTGTGTCCTATATCAGTGCTTCTCAAACTGTGTTTCGTCCGTGGCCCACTCAAACAATTTTCATTACCTCTGTAGCCCGTTTCTCTATTTTCAATATGCAACATTGATATGTGTACATACATTAAGTCCTTTTTTTTTCTTTTCAAAGTTTTCCTGGCCCCCAAGAAATACATCGTGGCACCCCCGGGGGAGCCGTATGTTTCACGTTGAGAAATGCTGTTATACATTCAATTTTTTGTTCCCTCTTCCGTCTCACAGGCAAGAGCCCACCAACTGCTCCTCCACAACAAAGACTTGCTGGACCACGTGTCGCTCCTGGTGTCCCGCGTCCAGCAGCTAGAGATGAAGGTCAACGGGGTGAACCCCCACAGCATCGAGCCTTTCCACGCCCCTGCCCAGGTGGGAAGCTATTCTATCAATATCAGTGTGAAGCTTTTCCTACAACCGGTCGCGTTACAAAACATGATTTTATCTTAAAACTAATACATGTTTTGTTTCGTCATTTTTTTTTTTTGTGCAGTGCTTTTTAATGTGTATCAAAAAAAAAAAAAAAAAAAAAGAAAGAAAGAAAGAAAGAAAACTTTAATAATTGGGATGGGGGAGGGAGAAAAAGGGGGAAGGGGGCTTAGAAATGCAGATAATATATTTTGTAAATTCAGTCGAGTCTATGTATTGTCGTTTGGGGCAAAGATTTGATTCAGGATTCTTTCTTTTTTCTGCGAAATAGGCTATCATTGTATGGTCTTATCTAGTGTTTCTTTCAGACAATATTCTCAGATAAATTACAAGTTTCCTCTTCAATATACTTGAAAATATTTTTTTTTTAAAAACATATTCATTGTATTTATTTTACAATTCAAGATTTAGATAGAAGAATATTTTCTAAAACTTTTCCAAAAAAATAACTATCATAAATTGGCATGATAATTGAATGCTAGTGCACAAAAACAGGGAGTAATTTTTAAATTTTTTTTAGCATTCTAATGGATTCTCATCTAAATAAATTTATTAATTTTTTTTTTAAATGCGTGCTAATAGGTGGGGCAGATTTTTAATATTCTGATATTAAAAAGAGAAAATCGGTTTAAAATTTAACAAATATAGACCAAGTATTTCTAAAAAAAAAACTCTCTTAATCAGGAAACTGTTTAAAAATCAATAAACGCTTTTGATTTCATAATAAATTGCTGAAACGTGCATTTGTGTATGCGCCCGTTGAATTCTTAATGTTTGTTAAAAAAAATAATTAATAATAATAATAATCATTTTTTTTTAGTTTTTATTTTATCTAGTTCAACATACATGGAATCGTGCACATTTAAAATTATAATAATAATATCTTTAAAGCACGATGACCGATGCCATCATGCAATTTATCATGATAACCTATCCCGACTTTGTCACGCTTTTAGGATGAAATATAATTTGAAAACAGAGTGCACATTTTGAGCAGGAATCGTCATTTAAATTATAGAACTTTATTCTGATGTCAAGAAAGTATTTAAACTTGTGACGTTGCAAAATATAAATAAATAATAATTACCCGATTATGCGAACAACGGGAGGTAAGCCTCCGGCTTATAATCGGGAGCGGCCAGTTTTCTGAACATTGCCATTTTTACAGTCAAATAGTAACAAGATTAGCCTTGAATCAGAGGCGTAGCGAAAGAGTTTGGCGCCCGGGGACAAGATTCGCCACCCGGGGGCAAGATTCATTTTAAAGCGCCCCCTTTTCTTTTTTTTCAACTCTCAAACCCATCCTGTTCATCAATAAAATAATATCAAATCACGTTTGGGTGCCCCAACTAACTGTCGGCCGGGGACATCTGTCCCCCCCCCTACATCCCCTCGCTACGCTTATGCCTTGAATATACGGATCATCAAATAAAAAATGGTTACCGGAAATTTGTTCGAAAGAAATTTCGTCGGCGGTCAAATGTTCGACGGTAATTTGATTGAACGGAAATTTGATCGAATCTTTTTTTTTCAGGTTTTATGTTAAAAGTTTCGTTAAATTTCTTTTTGAACGCACTATACTATATAGTAAAACAAAATAATGCGTTCAAAAAGTACTTGAAGCAAAATGTTAACGTAAAAACTAAAAAAAAAGATTCGACCAAATTTCCGGATACGATAAATAATATATTGAGCGTAGCAATAATTAATAGGTTCCACTAATTGTCACGGTTAATCGCATTGGCTACTATTCTTTTGATACAACCCCCCCCCCCCATCAAACCGAGTTTTTCCTGAAAGAAACACTCGTCTTATCTAAGTTACAAGCCTAGAAAGTTGCCAGTGCGTTTCTACATGATACAACCCCCCCCCCCCATCAAACCGAGTTTTTCCTGAAAGAAACACTGGTCTTATCTAAGTTACAAGGCTAGAAAGTTGTCAGGGCGTTTCTACAATACGGTTTGAGGGTAAGGCTCATAAAAAGCCAATATTTGATGTATGACGTCATTTAATGGCATTCATCTTTATCTTTGCACAGATTTTTTTTTTTTTTTTTTTTTTTTTTTTTTTTTTTTTTTTTTTTTTTTTTTTTTTTTTTTTTTTTTTATAATTTTTTTTTTTTTTTTTTTTTTTTTTTTTTTGTTTTTTGTGTGAAACTATTCATTGTTGTTTAACCCCGTACAGCAAGCCTCGAAATTTCAAGTAATTTTCAAATCTGGAGGCTTTCACTTTCACTATTTAAATGTGTGTTGTATAAAAAGGATTTGAAAAAAAAAATCATTTTAACTCAATCAACAAAAAAACAGTAAATAGTTCAACTAGTTTAGCTAACAACTCACTTCCAGGTGTTACATGTCGTTCTTGTATTTTGCACGCCCCCTCCCCTCGTGTTCTCCTACAGTTACAGGCATGAAACACACTCAAATCTAATGACGTTCGTTGCACTGCTATCGTCCATAGATTCCCTCTCTCCCAGACGCGACCACGCCCAGACCCGCCCCCGTCTACCTGCCGGACATGAGGCCGTCCAATCATTACTTGGACCACGGCGTGGTGGGCGGGGCCAGCACCTTCGCCAACACCAAAGCCGCGGGCCTCGACGCCGACTCCCCGGACAGCGGCCACAAGGAGATGTCCTCGGAGAGTCTGTCCTACAGCCTCAGCAACGGCGACGGGAACGGTTGGCTGAACCCGTACGGCCCCACCTCCTTGACGTCGTCGTCACAGGACTCGGGGCGCCACGACGGCCACGGCGGTTGGATGACGCCCACCCCTCGCTCCTCCTCCTCGCCCCCGTCCTCCTCACCGAGCAAAAGCAGCACGCTCAAGGCTGGGAGCACCAGCAGCATCGACAGGTCGGGAGGGGGGAACGGTTCCACCAGTCACATCCCGCACTCTTCGTCCTTCACGCCGGACTCTTACTTGTGCCGATCACCGAACTTCTACAAGGCGTCGTCAGGGGGCTCCCCGCACAGGAAAGAAGCCTCCGACAAGATCAAGCTCATCTCTCCGCTGGCCTCTCCTCAGGGATCGACCAGCAGCCACAGAATGGACTATAAATCATCGCCCCTGCCTCACAACAACAGCCACCACCAGTCGATGTCGTCGACGTCGATGTCGTCGACGTCGTACACCTCATCTCCGTCGTCGTCGTCTGCAGCTTTGACCTACACCTTGTCCCACATGTCGTCCGGCGGGACGGCCCCGAAGCTCGACCCGCCTCCGAAGTTCCGAAGAAGCTCGAGGCCGATGGAGAGATGGGAGCGAGGCAGTTGGTACATGTCGTCCCTGGCCGAGCCCCCCGGGGCGTTCGCCTCTGACAGTGACTACTATTCCACCTACAACGGCGGCGGCGGCAGCAACAGCAGTGGCGTCCAGCTGAGATCCCACACCCGCAACAGCAGCAACGGAAGCAGCATTGCAACTGCCGCGGCGTTCCGCTACTCCGATTCAAGCGCCCGCTCTTCCATTTACAGCGACAACAGAGAGAGCACCTCGTCCATGGCTGCTTTGCGGCAGAAACTGGAACTGCGGGTCAATGACCTGAACTCTGCTACGCAGCAACAGCAATACCAGCACCAGCAGCAGAGCCAGAACGGGAAGTGGAAGATGCGGCTGAGCTACACGTCGGACGAAAACAGTGACAACTCCGCCGATTTTACAGGCGCCAGTCCACACAGTCAGTGTAGAGAATCTGACAGGCTTGAATCTCTTAGAAGTTGAACATAATGTTCATTTGAAACGTTCAAATAACATCATCTTAACATTGAATTTTAACATGAATCTTTTGGAGTGGGTTTTTTTTTTTTTTTTTTATAACGGGGTATTATAATATTATACATGTTATAATTCTATTTTGATAATTTTTCAAAGAATATTTGGTTTATATTCAGAATGATAGTGTATAACCATTATTTTAATTTTTAATTTGTATTTTTTTTTTTTTTTTTTTTTTTTTTTTTTATAACGGGGTATTATAATATTATACATGTTAGAAGTCTATTTTGATAATTTTGCAAAGAATATTTGGTTTATATTCAGAATGATAGTGTATAACCATTATTCTAAATAAAGCTCTCCTATCAGTATGAATAAGTTCTGTATCAATGAGTTGGGAAAGAACATTCAGTTTCATAAGGAGGTTTTTAGTTAAAAACTAAAAATAGAGCAACTCCTGGTTCAAGTATTATAATCCAGTATCAGCTCAAGGCTCGGGGCCAAAATGCTTCAATGTTCATCCAAACAATAGCCTCGATCTCATTCACCTCCAGTCTGAAAACATCTGAGACTTTCAGTAAAGTTGTTTGATCATCGCAACGTCTTGCATCTCGTCTAATATAATTTATTGAAGTTATCTGTTTTACAAAAGTCATAAAACGCATATTTGTACTGCAATCTATTTATATGTGTATCATATCAATATCAATGAATTCATCCATGAAATAATTTTTGTATGTGTAAAAAAGCACTTTTATTGTGTAGCATTGTTATTGACAGATTTTTAAAAAATTAAATAATACCCATTGTGAATTATTTTAATTAACCTTGACTTGAAATATCTTTTGTTTATTATTATTATTATTTTTTGTAACGAATAAACATCTTGAGATTATTTTTACGAACCCTGGGCTTTAACTTTAAATACCGGGTATGCATTTTTGTAACATAGAAAAACATCTCTTCATTATTTTTTTTTTAAATAATATTTTTAAATATATGTTTTTGTAGCGTGTAAACATCTTCAAGTCTCAGATAAAATAGTTATCCCACACGGGAGACTTGGCATAAATTAACCAGACACATGACATGGACAAGGTTACGATTTTGATTTGAACAAAAAAAAAATAATAATAATAATTTTTCTTTGGTGACTTTTTCCGCTTTATCCTGGGAAAAAATGTAAAACCAAATTTCTTGTGAAATACGTCTGGACACGACGATCAATCACTTTAAGTAACATTAAATCATTGTTATAAAAAGTATTAATGATCTTTCTCGAATATAGAATTCTCAAACTTTAATCTATGTAAATACTTGTTCATGTTGTTGTTTTGTTGGGTTTTTTTTCCATATGGTAGGCCTACTAATGGTACAGCACGTTTTTTTTTTCAATAGTCTGTCGAACTTGAAATGATTGAATGAACGTATAACATGTCGTTGAAGTAATGTAGGCCTATTATGTCATAATGAAAGAATGTATCATCATTTGATATTGAATGAACGTATCTTTGCGTGAAATTGACGTATCCATGATCAGAGGCGTAGCGTGGTGGGGGCAGGGGGGGGACAGATGTCCCCGGGCGCCAGCTAGTTAGGGGCGCCAAAATGTGCTTTGATATTATTTTATTGATGAAAATAATGGGTTTGAGAGTTGAAAAAAAGAAAAAGGGGCGCTAAAAATGGATCTTGTCCCCGGGCACCAAACACCCTCGCTACGCCACTGTCCATGATTGATTAAAGAATGAATGTGACATCGGTGCACACGCATTTGAATGGCTAAATTAAATGTGATCGAATGAAAATAAACTAATGACTAAGTGAATACAGATGTGATTGGGCCCTGTGTTTTCTAGCCATTGACACCACCGATGACCACACTCCATCATTAGATTTTTGACACACCTTTAAATCAACACCATTTGTTCATTTTGCTATTAACGGTGTCTGTGTGTATTTCTTCAAAGTCGTTTTGAATACATTTCCATAAGACTTAGACACTTGATACCCATGGTAGTTAACGCAGTTTTAGACTTTGATATTACAAATCTGAACCAGCTTCCCAGCGGTGTAAAGAAAGGACCGTCACTAAACTCTTGGCGTGTTCACCTATTTTAACGTGTAAGAAAGTTTTCAACCTGTCCTTTCTTCAACATAAATTAAAATGTACTTTCTATGCATCCAACAAAACTGCAACATCTCCTGGCAGAAAGGCCCACGTATAAATTCAACCCATAGAAGCGCCCCCCCCCCCCCCCCCCCCACGTTAAAATTCACCCCCGAGAACCGCCCCCCCCCCCCCCCCCCAACGAGTCACTATCGCTGTTAGAAGCGGCCCCAATATTTCAGCCAGGAGCCGCCCTCCTTGCGTCCAAACCGGAACAATCCACACCCGTGTTTAAGTATTACCATGCGATGTCCATATTTAATACCGTATACGTAATGTGTTATATCATTTATTGATATCAGCGTAATGTTATAACTAGTGTTGGTGAAAAAAAGTTATGCGTTTATCATTACTACGGTAAATACTTTGATGTTTCAGCATTTCATATTGGGGGCCATCCATAAAAGACGTCCACCAATTTTTTACCTCCCCTTTGTCCACTTTTGACTTGAACCCCCCCCCCTCCCCCCCCCATTTGTGGACGTCCAAAACATAAAATTTACCGAACTTAAATTAATGAATATTTTGGAAAATATTTTTACAAAGATTTTTTTTTATAAATTCCAATTATTTGCAGGCAAAATTCTAAATGAAATAATAACTGTTCAAAAACATTTTATTGAATCACTGTACTAAAAAATGTAATAAACAAATAATCCACCACTCTTCAATCAACGGAAAATTCGGACTGCAGCCATTCAAACATGTTTCGTATAATGACAACATCTGTTCTTGAGTCTTCAATTGCTAATTCAATTTGAGTGGCAGTCTCTTCATCTGATTCGTCGGCCATATTATGCTCACTAGCAGGGAATATTGCAATGGACGACCTTATGTTTTTTCATTGCCGCCTGTGATGGGAAATATTTACCGCAGAAACATATTCTCTTGGGAATTCTCCCAGCCACCGATGAACAATAGAGATCAAAAGGCATGCTACTGTAACTGTGATCGGGTAGTAAATTTATGCAAAACTGCTGCACTCAAAAAAACACTACAATGTGGACATCCACTTTGTCCAAAACCCCCTCCCCCTCTTTGTCCATTTTTTGCTGACCCCCCCTCCCCCCTTTTGTGTGGACGTCTTTTATGGATGACCCCTTGGCAATTTACTATAGAAAAAAAAAAATTATCTATTAACTGAGGCAGTTCAGACATCTTTAGGTTTTTCTTGGTTTAATAATTAATTGTAACATTTTAATTTCATGTCATCTATTTTTATGCACCGCTTTTTTTTGTTTTTTTGTTGTTTTTTTTTTAATTTAAAGGTAGTTTTGTTTGAATTACTGTGTACAACTTTCATTCTCTTTGCTTTCAATGAAGAAACAACTGAATATGGCATAAAAATTCACGCTATTCACAAAATTTAGTTACGGGATAACTACAGCCTCAGCAAGGGTTGTGCGAAGAAGGGGGAATGCGGTAACCGCCCTGGGCGCCATAATAATCGTCATTATTCGGGGGGGGGGGGAGAGGTCGCCTAAATTCAGGCTTTGTCCGACCTGCGGTCCTGGCCACCGCCTCTCTTTATGCTGAACTCAGCCTAACACTAACACATTTAACAAAAATAATACACCAACTTTAAAAATAAAAAAAATTTACCCACGGCAGTTGCTTGGGGGCCTACGATAAGACCCAATCCAAAAGGGATAGCTGGGGCCACGGGTACATATACCCCCCCCCCCCCCCAACTTTTAATAGGTAAATAAAATACCACCATAGCCCATTTTGGCGCCTCACTCCAAATTCATAATCGTTACCGTATTCAAGATAAATAAAGGCCTACTTAATAAAAAGTCTTTTCCACACCGGTACCCCACTTCAAGCCCTTTTAAGATACGGTACCGTAATAATCTTGTCATGTTCTGTGTCTAAGTCCAAGTATCGCTGTGGCAAAATATAGTCTGGCACTGGCATTGCCGTGATTTGCCAACTCCATGTGAATAGTATTCATCCAGTTTTTTTTTGTGGGAGTCAAAATTGAAATAACTTTTACTGTTACAATTCACAGATACCCCGGTACCGTTAAAAACACGTGCCCTGCATTTCCAAAAAGGAAAATATTACCGTATAAAATAAATATGTAATATGTTTAACAATATTCATATTACTATTACTTTCGATCTGTAATTGTTAGGCATCAATCATTGATGATCAATCAACACCAACATTTAAGTGCTTATAAGGCATCATTATAATACCGGTACCGGAATTTTAAATCCCGCAAGGTACCGGTGCTCTTAAAAATCCATTTAAAACCCTTAATACTAACACCAGACGTAGAAAGATACCATTATTTTTATTAATTTAGTCGAGACCAGGAAAGGAAAAACAAAATTGAAAAAGCTAGCGCTTGTGTTGGCAGGCGACTGTTGAGGGTACTTATGAATTACATTTTTTTTACTGGTAATTAAATTAATGCTACTCCAACTCAAATTATTAGTACGGGGTAAGGCTTGTTCGCCAATAGTGGCTCTGTAAATTATTCTTTAATTCTAGTTCACTAACATTAGGCACTCAAAACCCATTTTCAAAAACTTGTATTTTGCTTTTTACAACATGACACTTGGAAAGAGCTTGTTATTTCTGAGTTGTTTGATACAAACTTGTAGAGTAACATGATTTTAACCATTTTAAAGAGGAAAAGCTTCTCCTTTGAATGATGCAAGCCACCTTCTCTTTCCTCCTTGAAAAAAGGGCTAAAACGCGAGTTGAATTACACCATTTTTTGCGTTTTCACTCGCGGCCTGCCGAAATGCAGGCGGGTTTTGAGTGCCTACTAACATCTATAACATGATCAATTGACTTTTGAATATGAATAGCAAAATTGAAATATTTTTTTTTAAAAACTCTCCTGTGAATATTGCATGTCATGAAATGTTAATGTATTACTTTACATTATGATGAACGAATATGGTACCATAATGGTTACCATGTATAATCTATGTATGAGTTTATTCATTTGCTTTAAAATGTTTGAGAGCTTGACAAATTCAGAACATTTGTAAAATTAAAACTGAATTAATCATTTATCTATTTTGTTTGTGATTTTTTTAACTTGCATCTATACTACAACGAAAACAAAATAAGTACACACCAATATACCAATAGTAAACTTGACTTAATTTGCATAATATCTTGGTCATGCCAATGGAGACCAGCCGATTGTTTCAACCTTTTTTTCCTTAGACAGTTGAAAAGACATATGGTATGATTTATTTGTTCTTTTTATGCTTAGTACCAAACTACACCAAGCACTATGGAGACAAGTTAATTAACATTATCAATAAAGTACTTTTCACCTAACGCTTCATTGGCAACAACAGTCAACTACATGAACCAGTACAGCAATTTCCAAACTTAAATCCTTAGGAAGAGTGCACTAACCATAAAAATAAAATCTGTAGCCCTACTTTAATTTTGTTTTTTTCATATGTGAGAGCCCATGATCAATTTATGAATTCAGAGTTAGCCTCTTAGATGAGTTGCCTTCCAAGTAAGGCTAACGAGTCCCATCCACCAGGGGTGCTTGGGATTTTGGCGGGGATTGAACTCCAGACCACCACTATTTGGAATGAGTCAGTTTAGACCAATCGGCCACCCAGAGAGAGCTGGTAAAATTCATGAATTAAAGTATGTCTAATCCCAATTTGCCTGTCTATCTAATCTCCAAAAAAGACAAGAACTAGAAAGCAAATACGTAACCTAAAATTATGTGTGTCAAAGAACCAATGACTGACATGTCATTAAAGAATTGGGTATGTCAAACATCCACAAGATCTCATTGCTGCAAGTTTATAGTTAGCCGACTGCTAAGTTTATACCGTTAATTCAAGTCATTTACCAGTGTTTAAATATTTAAGATGGAGTATCGATATTTTATTTGAGTTTTAAAAAGTGCTGGGTATAAGTAACGTATGAAATTATGAGAAGCTTTCAGAATTATGTCACAAGGAATAGTAGAAATACACAAAACTAGCACTTTAGATTATCATGTATAGAATATTTTATTGTTTAACAGCATATTTCCTGATAGGATAAAGACGCTGTTTCCTCAACTCCTTTCTGCTCTTGATGGAGAGTTCAAATGGTGTAAGGGCACGACGCATGGCTCTGGTTTTCTTCTGCCTTAGGTCTTTGGGCTTGTGAGCCTTCTTGCGATAGAACTTGCGCAAGTTTTCTTTCTGTGTCTGATTGATGACCGTAAGAACACGGGCCACAGACTTTCTAACTGTGTAGCTGAAGATAGGAATCATAACAGTCATTAAATTGTCAAGAAAACAAACTGTAAAAATTAATTTCACACTGTTAAGTATACATAAAATTACAACTAGCTATGGGTATGGGACCCCTGTGAGAGCAGTGTCTGCTTGTATTATCTGCCAAATCTGAATACTGGAAATTAGAAAGAAGCAAAAACTGCCTTCAAATGGATAGCAAATTGAAATAAGCATTTCTTTGGTATAGTATACAAAAAAAGAGACAAGCTCAGAAAAAAAGATTAGACGCAATCCATATTATAACCCATATTAAATTAGGAAATTCTGGGTTTATGGCGAGGGGCTTGTACTTAGCATAGGTGTACATAAATTTAAGCACACATTTTGCAATCCTTATTTGGAAATCCCCATAGTCCATAAATAGCTTATAATAAATCTAATTTCCCAAAGCCAACAGTGAACCCAAAATCTGTAATCCATTCCAAACTATTCAATATTTTTTGTAGAAATTCCTTAGACTATAAAAGTGATGAGGTGAGATGAGCCCTATAAATAATTGTAATTAAATTGTTTATAATTATAACGCTTTAAACATTGCTTATTGTTTGTTCCACTATGGCTACATTCAACGATTCCTCCCTAATATTTGAGGATGGAAGCGTTGGATTCTACCCATCACATAATATGCATTGGGTGCATCCAGCCCTACCCATCACTGGCAACAAAAATTTTGCTGCCATGTTTCATAATTTTTTATACCCTTTCAATGATGAACCAACTATTATAGTTAAAGCATGAGTAATATTAAGCCTTGCAGCTACTTTTATTCAACAGCTCACTTCACTTTGTATGCAGGTGGAGGGGATAAAAAAAACATAGCTAATTATACACAAAACAAAGCAACAAAATTAAGAAAGAAAAATGGTTAAAAATGTGGCAAAATTACTTACATTTTTGCAAGTTTAGCAGCTGCACCCCCAGTAACTTTTGCAACCCGAAGAGTCTGAAGCTCCTGCAAATACATGATTCAATAAATAAATGTCAGTTTATCAGTTCATTGTAAAATGGGTTATATATATAAATTTACGACATGATTCACCCCAAGTCTTAGTAACATTGTGACTATATGTATACACTTATACAAATAGTATTAATAATTTTGTGACTATCATATATGCCTACGCTATTGACTTACATTCTTCAGCTCATCCAGCTGTTTCAGAAGGTCCTCCTTCTTTTTGCCACGAAGTTCCTTAGCCTTGACTTTGACCTGACAAGAGAAAAGGCAAGAGGAATATTTTAAAAAAATCTAAATTGCCCTACTCAGAACAGAGGCGTAGCGTGGTGGGGGCAGGGGGGGGACAGATGTCCCCGGGCGCCAAAATGTGCTTTGATATTATTTTATTGATGAAAATAATGGGTTTGAGAGTTGAAAAAAAGAAAAAGGGGCGCTAAAAATGGATCTTGTCCCCGGGCGCCAAACACCCTCGCTACGCCACTGACTCAGAAGGACCATTAAATTAATATATTTTTTTAATAATAAAGACCAATCAAGCTTCAATCAAGGGGGAGAGACTGCAATCAGTCAATCATAATTTCATAATTTTGTGTGTGTTTGTATTAAATGCCATAGGCCCTTAGGCTATTGGCAAAATAGGATGGAACAAGATAAGCTACAGGATAATATAATCCTAGGTTTTAATAGCAATAACTAGGCCTAAACAGGCTGTGTTAGGGATAACTTTCTCATAAGTAGTGAGGATGTGTTCTGTACTATCGACTACAGTCCAGACTGATGTAGTCATGTAATCTATTTACTTATACAAATTATCCCTAAACACAATGAAACAAAAGAACATAGATAGATTAACCAGGCTAAATACCAGGTTGTGACATGTCATGTTTCTACATTAAGCCCATCACTATCACTTGTATTAAGTTCACTAAAAATTACTGACGGGGGAATAAAATGTCTTCAATTACATCAATTTAAAAGGCAAGGAAAGTTCCAAAACATTTCAAAATAATATAAGTTTATTTAATATAACAAAAAATAATATTTGCTGTCATTTGTATTGGAGGCTTAAAATAATATTCAGCTACTTCAATTTAGTGATTATTACATGTTTGTTATCGAAAATTCATTCTAATGTTTATGTGGATTGATCCCTCTAAAAACTAAAGTGCATAAAATGAATTTGATAATAAATAACATAAATCTTGCCATTCTTTAAATTTTAACAAATAAAATATGAATCTTGAGCAATAACTTAGAGAAATATTCAAGATTAAAGTCGATTGTAAATATCACCTACCATTTTTGATCAGTTTTAATATGGAAAGGATGGAACGTTGAAATAGCTGGTTTTACTTTCCGGTTCCGACAGAACTATTTTAACGCTGATGTGGTCAGAATTTTTTTAATTTAACTCGTTGTAGAAAGCTAATCGCCCCGCATTTCAATTTAAAAACAAAATTTTTTGCAACAATTTAAAGCGTTTTTTTAAATTACACGCGAAAGCGAATGTAAGTGATTTATGTGTACAATAATTCTTTAAATAGTTTACAAATTTTCCGGTTTTACTTCCGGGGTGGATAAGGAAGGAGACGGTATTTCTCGTGATAAGTGGCTGTCAATTATTAGTTTTTAGAATGGCGAAAAACACAGGTTCCAGCAAATTTAGAAAAGTTGATGTAGATCAGTTTGACGAAGACAGGTATGTTTTTTAAAATAAATTTGCTCCCTTATAATTAGTGCTATTAAGGAATTTAATTTGGGGTGTGTACTGTCTGACTCACTTCTTAGTCTTAGTGGTCATACTCACTGTGTCAGCGACATACTATTGTCACTCACTCTCAATGACAGTGACTCGGTGTCAGTGCTTGTTAGCATTATCACAGTATGACTGACACAAATCAATCAAAGATTGTGGAGCCTTCTGCTTCTATACATTATGGGCCCACAATCAATTTATTAATCATTTTGGCTCCTACATTTAAATGCTATACTACTATACTAGGTACTTGAATATAAATTTGAAAAAAAATTGAAATAATTTTTTTAAATAATACAGTTAGTTAGAGCAAATTTCAAATTAAAAAATGAAACCAGAATCAACTTTTTAGCTTAAGTACTTTTTGAGCTACGAATTTTTAAAGTGTGAGTTCGTTTGGTATTTTTTTACTATGGACGAAACCTCCACATCTTGTGACCTCATTCCACTGATCGCGTCAAGCACAATGTCTATATACTTTATATAAGGCAACGCATTCCCTTATCACTAAAATACTGTTTAGGGTCGACTTAGTTTAAACTTTCAACTTTGGCACATGAATAATTAATTAAAGCTTTCCCTAACCAATGGTTTAATAGTTTTTGCACACGGCAAACTCTTATGAATGAAACTCTGAGGTAGTACTACGATACAGCCATTATGCAAGTGGCTGTGAATGGTTGTCAATGACACCGTAAATTCTGATCATTTATAATATGGACTCGACCGGGTTTTTAAAGCTCAAATTAAAACATTCCAGTTTAAATATCTTCAAAATGCATTCTGAAATTAAGTTATCAAATATTTTGATGTAAATAGTGGTAATAATTAAATATTTCCTAAGAATCAGCAACGTCCACCATTAAAAAGGGGCATAGCCCACGCCATGTCGAAATTAGGCTGAGCCAACTGCATGACCTGCTGCGAACCAGTAGAAACATGGCGTCTCTCGTTAAACACATATCATTGTGAAAATTGGCATACGTGTAGATCAATACATGCCCCAGATCCATAAAAAGTTTGGTAGTATCATGGTTTTTACTTCAACTTAATTTTAATGGTTGAAGTTGCCTTATTTTCACCAAGGATTTTCTCAAAGCTGACTGATTGTAAATGAAAAACAAATAGAATAAAATGTAGGTTAAGATGTCCTGTAAAGCGAAAGGCCGGAAAAGGAACACAATTCTGGGATATAGTAATTATTTTATGAATGAAATAGTTCCATTATCAAAAAATTACAAACTTGGATTTTTATGCGCCGCCTTTTTCCCATACAAATTTTTTAGTAGTCTCCCTTGCTTCATCGAAGTACCTAGCTATACTATAATGCATGTAGACGAGGGGATTTGCAATGTTTTTGTGCCTGGTTATGATGAGGATATTTCGCTGGTTGCAAAGGCTACTTTGTCAGGGTATGATGCACTGGGGGTTGGAAGGCCTGAGGCAATAGATGCAAATGTGTCAAGTGTTGTCACCTCGTCTGTTCCTTTTGAAAGCTTGTTCCAGTCCCTTATACTGATTGTCTTTGGCAGGAATGAGCAGTTCCTATACAGGTATGAGCCGGAACTGCCTGTCATGGCCTCGTCACTGTCTTTGGGGGAGAGGGACGAGTTTCTGTTTAATGCTGGTGCAGTGGACCAGCCCATAATAATGGAGAGCCTTGATAGTCATCGTCGTTCCTCAAATGGTGACCAGCCTAGTATTTCCAGCATGCTGCCAACACTAGAGGTATTCCTGTAGAGGTTCAGGACAAAGCATGCTGCCCATTGCTGGACCGCCTCCAACCTGTCGATACTCTTCTGGGTAAATGGGTCCCAGACTGATGATGCATAGTCTAAAAGCAGACGCCGGAAGGACAAAGGCTTTATAGGCTCTTTTTTTCACACTGGAGTTGCCGATCTTTAGATAACGCCTTAAGAACCCCAGGGTCTTGTTTGCATGGTTGCATACATTGTTAATATGCTCGTCCTTGCGGACCTCTCTTTGAATGGTAACACCCGGGTACTTTACGGAGGAAACTGGCTCAAGTATATGGCCATGCAGTTCCTATTGGTAGTGTAGAGGAGTACAACATTTAGCTAGATATCTTAATGCTTACAAGATTCCTCTCCTTGTCTCCTGTTAAAGCTTGCTCCTCCACTTTCATTAATTTTAATTAAGATTGTGATTCAGCTGTCTGGAAGGCTACTGGTTGGATGTGGCCATTGGTGGAAGATGCAGATACATAGAAAGTATTTAATTATTACCACTATCTACATCAAAATATTTGATAACTTGTGTTATAAATAAAATTAGAGGGCATTTAAAAAATAATAATTTTATTTTAGTTTTAAAAACTCAGTAGAGTCCTTATTATATAAATTAACATAATTTACCACGTGCAGTGCCATTGTCTTGTGCAACCATTCAGTCACTAGCAAATGACTATACTATATGTTATCATTTTCAGTGGAATTGGGTCACCAATTGTGGAACGAGCTATGTATAGTAAAAAATTTACAAACGAACTTGCGCTTTAAAAATTCATAGCTCAAAAAAGTACTAAAGTTTAGGTTGATTCTGGTTTAGTTTTTTTTTATTTGAAGTAAAATTTGTTAATATTTTTTTATACTGAAGTGCCTATTGTTTGGTTAATTTAAATATTAAGTTAAATCACAAAACACATTTAGGAACATGTACCCCCACTCTTCAGATGGCTCATGATTGCCTCCATTACCACACTTTGAGTATGGATGGTCACCCAGTAATATTTTAGACAGTTCCCCTCCTAACTTAAATAAGTTTGCCTTCTGGCCCAATCAGATAACACAAAAGTTATTTGCTATATAATCCATGCTTTTAAATTGTATAATAAATACAGCAAACTGGGAATATAAATAAATCTATTATTATACTTATTATACTATAATATTAAATTTACAGCTATAATTTAAAGCAAAACAAAAAAGGAATGGCTAATATGATCACATATTAAAATATTTTTGCCATAATTTATTTACACAAAAAACTTGGGGGATACCCACATATCTGCAATTTACACAGACATCCTTTACTTTGTTAAGCTTAAGAGAAGAGTTAGAGCTACCTTATAAAATATATTATGGGGTAAACACGAAACAACAAATTTACAATTTGTTTAAAAAATCTTAAACTGAAGAGATCTGGGTACTTAGAAAATTTAATCACAGTGAGTCGAGCTATATAATTGTTTCTTTTTTTGTTTGTTTCATTGCACTTCCCAGATTCAAAGATGATGAAGACGCAGATGGTTCAGGAGTTGACCAAGGTCCCAGTGAAAGTGAGGTTAATAACCTCCTAGCAAGATATCCTTTCTTTAATTTTAACAGCACATGAGATTTAAAATGTCTTTCAAAGAGAAGTCTATTGTGTCTGCAACAATATCTATACCTAGACAAGAGATTCTAGAATTTCCTATGACTGGATGATGTATAAAAATAGTTTTTAAAATATTATTGATACCAAGTGCTTTTTTGTGTGATATATCCTTTTTATAAGCATTTTTTAAATGACTAAGCCAGTCATTTTTAAATCCTACTTTATGTTGGCTGCAATCTTACAAATTCAATGGTTGATATTTTTTTCAAATAGGTTGTGCTGTGTTGATATATTTATTCCACCTTGGTATTTTCTCAGTAGCTGGAGATGACCCTGGACCTGCTGCTATTTTTTGGTTAAGTGGCAAATGCTCCCATTACGCTGCAGGTCTGACTTGATTAAAAAGTTGGTTTTTGAAAATATTCTTGAACTCTAATTAAAGTCGAAAAGCCATAGTTGAAATTTAACTAAAAATTATATAACACAACCTTAACATTTAGCACAGATAAAAGCCAAGAGGCCTTGCTGCATGTTTTACAGAATGCTCCATCGAATTCCAAAAATCAAGCTGTTAAGGTAACACTATTTTTACTTAACTCGTCAAGCTTATCTTTAAATTAAAAGACTAAATAGTTTATTTATGTAAATGCAGCTCTGTATTCAATTACTTTTTGTATTTGTAAACGACTAAAAAAAAATATTATTTTTGAATACTTATTAGGATAGGGCGGCTAATCTGGCAGTGAGGGTTCTAACATCGTTCAAAGGTGACATGGACCAGTGTATCAAATCCTTAGACAATAAAAGTATAGACATCCTCATGAAGTACATCTACAGAGGCTTCGAGACACCCACGGAAAACAGCAGCGCCATTCTTTTAACTTGGCACCAGAAGGTCAGCTTTTACTTTTGCTAAATTATTTTCTCAGTTTAGTACGGGTAGTTATTATTTCATTATAATAGTTTTAAAGAAATTTCTGCATACTTGCAGGACTTACAATTTTGATAAAATCCCCCGAGAGTATGTTGTTGGGATTAGAAATAATTAAGGGTCGTCTTTTATTTTCATAGACAAAATCTATTAATAGTTAAGAGAATATTTTGACTGTCATTTATTTTAAAAGGAATTATACCTTTATATCCACATAGCACATAGAGTATAAAAAAATCTTCTATCCGCATGACTATTTCTCCCTGTATGGGGACAAAAATGTCATAATCAATAACGTTTTAAGACAGATAACATTGATTTTACATCGTTAATTAAATTAAAGGAATCTGTATTACTACAGCTAGCACAATTAACCAGAGAATCATCTATAATTACATCTAAACTAAACTGCTATTATCAAATTAATCATCTTAGGTCATTTTTGACAAAATTACTACTCATAAGTGTAAAATAAACTTTAAAAATTGATAAAAATCAGATTTTATAAAAGTTGTGATTTATCGATTTGGGAAGGATGTAAACATGTTTGAATTCAAAGGAGAGATTGTTCATGAATTTTTTTGATGTTGTTATGTTGTTATATGGTGGCCTATTGGCCACATGCGGATAAAAAGGTTAAAATTGGACATGGTCAGTGTGTTGACCAGGTGGCAGTATGGGTTTTAGTACAGAGTCCTATAATTTAACTAAAATGTGAATGCTTGATTGGAGCAGATACAAGAAAGGAACATCATGCTGAACTTGGCATCAGTTGTTCGTTTCTATAAAAGAGTAAGATACGATAAGTATAACTACTTTAGTTCAATTTTGAGCATGATAAATATTGGATGAAATATTTCTCAACCCTAATATTTGGTTATATTTCCACAGACATTTGCTGCCGGAGGACTAGGAAGCATAATGAGAGTCATGACTGACAGGAAGAGGGTGTAACACGAAGGACGGATATCAACTTGTTTGGGTTATGGTTTTTTAACTGTGTTTAGAACAATGAATTATTATATTTCTCTCTGTTATTGTTATAACAATATTGATAACTAAACTTCCTACCAGACCATAATTATTATTTATCATGTGTACATCTTGAGGTGTGTTTAAGATTTCATTGACATTTCCAGCTGTACCGTAGCTTGCAGTTAAACAACTGACAACACATATTGTCCTTAAATAGTTAGGTAAACTCAATATGACACAGTTGCTGGTTAATTCAAAAAAAGTTTTATGTGGTGAGAGTCAATTGTGCCTTAGGTGAATAAATGAAAGCAAGGGGCATAATCATCACTTAGCTCTATACTGATATAGGTAACTCTGGTATGATGGAAATATAATATATATACATTCACTATGCTTCCTTTTGTAGAAAAGTAGGTTTAACATGAATATTTCATTAGCTTTATCTTTAAACATATTGAGTCTTTACCCGTGGCAAGAATATGGCTTAAAAAGCTTCAATAGATAAAATAATATTTTTAATTTTTCTTTCGTCTAGTACCAAATAGTTATTTTAACAATTTAGTCTATTTAAATTAAAAAAAAAATTATAATCATTTGTTGATTCATATAAGTTATAATGTTTTTTTGATTGACTTGTACATGGATATTTAAGCATTTTCTATGGGGAACAAAAATATTTTGGTTTTGAAGACAGTAAATGTAAGAAAAGTGTTCATTTCATTTAAAGTTATTATTAATTGTTTTGTAGTGTAGTTTAATAGATAAAGTTATTTAAGTGTTGAAGAACATTTTCAGAATTCTCAAGCCTTGCTCATTAGGTTTTAGAATGGCAATATCTTAATTATATTTTTATTACATTTATCAGCCATGTTTCCGCCCCTTATATAATCACTGTTGCGAATGGTCACAGATCAGCATAGGAAAACAACAGTATTGTACAACTTGATCAAAACGAAACAGTTTGTCCAGAATGTTGAAGTTGCATTGTCTGTTGTACTATGAGTTACTTGATGGTCTCTTGTGATCATGTTCATTAACATTTATAATGGTTTTTTTTTCCCACATTCATTTGTCATGTTGTGGAAATGACTTGCTAAAACGATTTCCTTATTTTTGCTGGATGTGATAATGCAAATATATTTTATAACTTAATTGGGGGGGGGGGGCATTTTAGTATTTCAAGTAGTGTTTAGAAATCAATAAATTAGTCCATATAAGAATTTATATGTTGTGGAAATGACTTGCTAAAACGATTTCCTTATTTTTGCTGGATGTGATAATGCAAATATATTTTATAACTTAATTGGGGGGGGGCATTTTAGTATATACAGTAGTGATTAGAAATCAATAAATTAGTCCATATAAGAATTTAAGATAACTTAGTTAAATATTTAGTCAATAAAATAAATTTGTATCATCAGTTGTATTACATGTAACATGTAAGCTAATTTTAAGTTTCTTCTTTCTCTTATGTGGGCAGAATACCTGGATATTTTTTTCAAGCTTTAATATTTCTATATAAATTGGTAACTTAAATCATTCAACCGTTTCACATAATAAGCACTTGGTTTAGTTTTTGCCTGAGCAATGAGAATTACTGATATGCATAGGCAAAGCTATAAAATAAAAGGAATGCCATATTATAGTACAGAAGGTGAGGTTTGAAGTAACAGTTCAATCATCATTTGATGTTTCTGTGATTCTTGATTGTTTTGACCAACAATACATCAACCTAAACTTCTGTATTTATAACACAAGGTTTTTTGCTTCTTCATTATGTGGTCTTCTAGCCATGTGTTTGTGCATGTCATTTTATTTTTGTTGTTCCATGTTGATCTCGCATATTTGTGTATGTGTTATTTGCATGAGTTATCTGCCCTGATATCTAAAGGGCGCTAATTAAATCTAAATATTTCTAATTGAGTGAGTTGCTTACCATTATTTAATTTACTCGTTTTTTTTTTAGAAGATATTGCCTATCTGCACATAACATTGGTCATTGTGTAAAGTAATTTAAATAGCAAAGATAAAGGGCGCTAATTAAATCTAAATATTTCTAATTCAGTGAGTTGCTTACCATTATTTAATTTACTCTGTTTTTTTTTTAGAAGATATTGCCTATCTGCACATAACATTGGTCATTGTGTAAAGTAATTTAAATAGCAAAGATATGTTTATTAACATTTAAAAAACGAACATGCTATGCTAAAAAAATATTTATATCACTTAACAAACATAAAATAAATGCACCAAATTATGAGTACCATATGCATTTCTCAGTTGCATACACAAAAAGTGGGGATGTGTCACCCTAAAATTATGTGGTACTGTACATAAAGCAGATTTAACTTGACTATGGTTGTGTATGTTTTTAAAATAAGACTTAAAGATGATTTTCAATTTCTCTATCGTTTTGTTCAAGTTCAAATGATAAACATACAGCATGTCCTGTAAAGTTTGTCCAAGACCAACTATTTCTAAACTCCTTGCCATCACATAAACATTTTTAATGCTTGTAATATCTGAAATAGTGTTCCCCTCCTTTTTTATGTCAAATGTTACTATGACATTATACCACCATTGTGACATATACCACCATAATACACCACTGTCACTTGATTCACTGCTGTTAGTATTATGATCCATCCCTGTCAGACGATCCACAGGTGACGTCATTTGCTGCGACATGATCCATCGATGTCACGCAATCCAACACTATGGAATGATTCACAACTGTAACATGATCTACTTCTGTGACATGACCCACCACGGTGACATGGTTTGAGTACTCTTCCGCTACTGTTGGGCCTATCAGGCCGTATCAGCAGTCCATCTACTTCACCTCAATGTGTTAGCACCTAGGAGCTATCTCTTCCTTGGTCTCACTAAATAAAGGCTTCCAACACTAAAAAGAAGCATGACCAACCTTTGACTGCATATCCCAATTTTTTACACCTGCTGTCCTCTCTAAACCCGCCAATCCTAAATATACTTTCTTAGCAGATGATTTTAAAACAGATCTTCACTTAAAAAAAACTTTAGCTGACTTCTGCCATAGGGCGTTTATCTAAGCCAGGCCTGCACAACTCAAAATGTAAGGCGGACCGTAATACTTTATGAAAAACTTGTGCGGGCCAAAAGAAATAGGGCAGGGGGGGAAGCTATTAAGAAAGTAATAAAGAATATTTCGTTACTTCGCGGGCCGCAAAGTGGGTGCTGGCGTCCCACACGTGGCCCGCGGGCCGTATGTTGGGCAGGGCTGACTAAGACCACCCTGGAAGTGTAAACCAACATTAATTTAAATTCAAATGTAGCAGATCTTCCAATTAAATCTTAACTAAAAATAAGTATTTCTTTCATAAAGACTTGCACCACATGAACTTTGACCTCCCATAATCTTCACAACATAGGTCCTTGTGTTTGTTATCTATCGCCGAAAAACCCAGTGAATATGAGTTGGGTTGAGGAGTATGAGGGCTATGGACTTGCTTTGTGTGTGTGTCTGAGACCGTATTAGATAACTGCGACACTTGAAGTATCCTCCCATCTGTGCCAAGCACTACCCGGTACTGCTTTTTGTGTGTGTGTCTGAGACCGTATTAGATAACTGCGACACTTGAAGTAACCTCCAATCTGTGCCAAGCACTACCCGGTACTGTTTTTTGTGTGTGTGTCTGAGACCGTATTAGATAACTGCGACACTTGAAGTATCCTCCAATCTGTGCCAAGCACTACCCGGTACTCTAATTTAATAAACTTAAACAATACGGGCTACAAGTACAATAATATAACTCTGATGGCTCGAGTTATAAATATTTCCTGAAAATCATTGACTGCATACAAAATATATTGTCATTGAACCCTTCATCTTCCCCAATATTCCTCATTCCTTCTCACGCCTTTCGTGCCCACTCGTTTGATCTTATCAAATTGCTGGCATCCGTCCGTCACAATGTGACGATGGAGTGGGCTTCGGAGGACGAAATCCACATGGCCTGGGATTATTCTTGAAGGATTATAAGCTGGTTCCCAACAGCAAATCGCCTCCTTCCACGCCGCTGGATAACCCAAGGGATCATCAAGGGATGATACAGCTTGGCACCAGTGACGTCGGAATGTTTCATTGTACCAATGTTATCCGCCTTTCGGGACTCCATCTCCGGCTTTGATTTCAGAGTTGCCTTCTCTTAGATGAGTTGCCATCCAAGGTTAACGAGTCACATCCACCCGAGGTGCTGGTGGTGTTTTTGCTTGACTGGGCTCTGGCTGGAATTGAACTCCAGACCACCAACGTGAGATTCGCTCAGTTTAGACGTTTTCCCTAATTATTTTTTTTCTGCGATTGTTTTCAAAATAAAATTAGCAAGACGGCTATACTTTCTATGATCAAAAACAAAAGATCAGCATCGGCTCTTTCTTATGATGGTAATATTATTCCGAAAACGTTTGAAACACCAGGGGGTGGCGGTGTAAATCGTCACTCAAAACATACTTTCAAACACACAAAGTACACTTTCAAACACAAGTCAAAAGACATAAAAGTATTAAAAGTAACAGAATTCACCAGATTAAGACTTAATATTAATTTTTAAAAAATACATTTTATTCCTGTAACACCACTAGAAGAGGGTTTATTTTTTTTTTTTAAATATATTTTTTGCTGACTGTAAAAAAAATATGACCCCTACCTAAACATATTTTTTCTCCAAATTTTATTACCTCCTCAAATCCCAGTTGTCTACCTTTGCTTCTAATTGCCTCCCTTTCCCATCCGCAAAGTTTTTTTGATTTTTTAAAATAAAGAAGTGTCGCTACTGTCCCTTTGATTAAGGGGCAGTTTGGGGTGGTCGGGTGAAAACAGTTTGGGTTGGTCGGGTGAAAGCAGAAGTAGAGTGCGCCAAAGTTTCGCGGGCAAAGGTTAGAGGAGGGATCTGAGGAAGGAGCTACTCCCCAGAAATCTTCGCCGTGGTGAAATTTGGCGCATAACCGAATTTAGTTTCACATCATTGTATATTTGATCCGAGGGCAAAAGTTAAATATACTAGCTGAAATGTAGGTGTCCCTTGACCTGGTTGAGTTTAGTAAAAAAAATCCTTTACTTTTAGTTTTTACGAAATAATAATCAACCCCCTTGAATAAAACTGAAATGGCGTCCCTGATGGCCACCGGAAGCATCATGTTTTACGTTGTGTTTAAACACAAAAAATCTAACCCCTTGAATAATAGCTAAAAATAGATTAGGCTTAAATTGTGTGACATTTGTGAAAGGCTGTAGACGACTGGAATGTAAATGTAATATAATTAATACCATACTTGTTCACTATTTCAAAACTCAAATCACCCTGTGCAACGCTCTGTTCCGTTAATTTCGTTGCATGCCTGGAACGTTCCTAGAATGGTTGCTTTACCAGTTATTTGCTTTTATTAACCATTCGATTTTCAAAAAGTTCTTAGATAATATCAATATTTAAAATTTAATTCTACAACATAGGAAATCGAACATATAAAATGTAAATCATTTAAACAGTACAATTTTATAAGTGGCGTAATTTCTGGAAAATTGTATAAACTTTCATAGAATCAGTAGTTACGTTCCCAAATTGTTTAGGTCTGATATCTAAAAATATGAAATGAGGCCGCTGGCCCACTGATAACCTCAAGTTGGACAGCCCTGGTTAATCAGTTCTGTAGTACACATTATGACTAAGACTAAGTAGTTTTCTAATTTACCGGACTACATTTTCATCTAATAATTATTAAAGTTCGATTGAAAATGCAATACAGTTACTTAAGAACAACAATAATACAGTTACTTAAGAACATAATAATAATAGGCCTACCGTTACTTAGAACATAAAAATAATAGGCCTACCGTTACTTAGAACATAATTATAATAGGCCTACCGTTACTTAAGAACATAATAATAATTGGCCTACCGTTACTTAAGAACATAATAATAATAGGCCTACCGTTACTTAAGAACATAATAATAATTGGCCTATCGTTACTTAAGAACATAATAATAATAGGCCTACCGTTACTTAAGAACATAATAATAATAATAAAAAGCCCGCCGTCACTTTAAAATGTTCTAATAATAATACAGTTACTCAAAAACAATTGAAGAAATTTAATGTAAAACAATAAATGTCACCGATTCCTAATGACGTCATCAAAGCTAAACATCATTTCATGGCTTAGCCTACGAAGAATTGTTACATTTGAATAATAATACAGCGTAAACAACAACCAACGTCAAAGTTAAATCTAACAATACATGAGATTTTTAGTGTTGAGAACATCGGAGCTGCGGTGTTATAGCAACTTCATTAATTGGATAGCAGCAGCGATTTGCTATTGGCCACCACGTCTATTGTCGATCCTAGTTAAGAAGGGAACTCAAATACAAGGTTTTATAAATAATATGTCGTGTCATCAGCTCCCGCTGGACTTTTTTTTTTCAATCTGTTGCCCTATAAAGCAACAACACCTCTCCACTGTTGTGAATGTCAACAGATAAGCGACCGCTCTTGAACTAAACTGTTACCCAATAATGGTACTTAGAGTCAGTTTTTTTTTTTTTTTTTCAATTTTTTTTTCCAATTGTGATTTCCCTCATCACCCCCCCCCCCCAACCCAATTCAAATGTTATTTAAAGGCCCTGCCATTAAGTGTACGACCACACTGCTACACTTAGTTAACTGATTCAGCGGGAAGCTAAGGTCAGATTCGTCATTTCTAGCGTACCATCATTATAAAGTTAGTGCTATTTGCAAATTATAGTGTTGTGCCTCGTGTCTTCGTACGTTTGGTTTGTTCGTGTTATACAAATTATCATGATTTGATTGTTGATTTAGTTCTGAGAGATTCAAATTGAATGATTCAACGCCAATCTACTCCAACATCTCTCTAGACCTATAGTGTTTGTTGGGTTAAGACATTTTCTGCAACAATGGTTTTCGCTGGATTTGGGGGGGGGGGGATTCCAGAAGTACTCTCAAGGAGGGCTAGTGTAGGCCAAGAGCAGAAGCCACCGTAACATGTTACATACAATTATAATACAATTATTCAAATAATTATATCAAAGATTAGACCTATAGTGTTTGTTGGGTTAAGACATTTTCTGCAACAATGGTTTTCGCTGGATTTGGGGGGGGGGGGGTTCCAGAAGTACTCTCAAGGA